AGAAACCGGAATACTCGTGACTCCGGAACATGTAACGCACATCTTCATCATCTCGCACCTTTAACGGGACAAATTTACATTCGACATGGCCGACAAAAAACACTGGGTTTTTGTATATTATTTGCCCAACTGGACCACATTGCAGTTTTTTTTTCTATTCTTGACTTCAGGTGTAAAAAATTAGACCTTCTATCAATTAAAAATCTTGTAACTTCAGTGTTTCTGAAATTGTAACCAGATGTTTCACATTCGAAAACTTCACCGTTAAGATGTGCCGAAATCATATATTGTGGTGTTTGAGACAAAACGAAAATTGTGTTTGAGTGTTTGAGGGTTTGAGTGTTTTAGTGTTTGAGTGTTTTGGTGTTTTAGTGTTTGAGTGTTTAAAGAGTTTATAGACTTTATTAAATAGGCTGAGTGTTTGATTGTTTAAAGAGTTTAAAGATTTTTTACATGTATTTCAATTAAACCTACGTGCAGCATGCTTGATAACCGATTACATGCAGCAGGACACTTGTCACGCATCCGTTTACCTTGTCACCCTTCATGCAGCATGCTTGATAAGATAGGACAATTCAAAACTTTGCGTTTCACATGTGACCCTGCATGCCTACATTGACCAGGCAGGCCTACGAGATTCTCTTTCTGCATGCATCAGGACTTGATGAGACGGGACAATGTAGGAATCTTGGGTTCACATGTGACCCTGCATGCAACATGCTTGATGAGACGGGACAATGCAGGAATTTACTTTTCACATGTGGCCCTGCATCCGTTTTTTACATAGTTGGTTATTTGCATACGTGTTACATTAAACAATAATAAAAAAAATCTGCAATCTGTATAAATTATCATCCATCAAAAAAACCATATGTTTTTAATTTAGGAAAAAACATAATAAGAAAAATTCACACTACAGTTAATATGCAATCAACGACAAAAACATGTGAAACATAAAGCCTTAATATGCAATCAATGACATGCAGCCTGCTTGATGAGACAAGACAATGAAGGAATCTGCTTTTCACATGTGACCCTGCATGCAGCATGCTTGATGAGACATGACAATGAAGGAATCTGCTTTTCACATGTGATCTTGCAAGCAACATGCTTGATGAGACGGGACACTGAAGAAATTCACCTTTCACATGTGATCCTGCATGTAGCCTGCTTGAGTGTATGACATTGCATCAAGACACTTGTCCAACATGCATTTACAGCACACATGCATCAGGATACTTGTCCAACATGCATTTACAGCACACATGCATCAGTACACTTGTCCAACATGCATTTACAACACACATCCACTCGTAGAATATAAATATAGGGTCTTTGCCCAGCAAACTCTGCTCACAATTAAACTCTCCTACTCTCAACCACTCATACTCTCAAACCCTCAAACTCTTTAAGTCTCAAACTCCCAAATTCTCTAAACTGTAAAACTCTCAAACCTCAAACTCTAAGTCTCAAAGTCTTAACTCTCAAACTCAACATCTCTACAATGTCTTTACTCACCATGAACGACTCTCATAAAGGCACAGATGAAAACATTGCAGAGTTTGTAAGTTTTTAGTTCTTAGCTATGTATACAATCTTGTCTAGTAAAACGTTAAGTATTTTACTTCTTGTCTAATGAAACATTAATTATTTTGCAGGATGTATCAAGGTTTCGATGTCGTGTGCATGATTACATACCACACGACCCCCTCATAGAGGGGTACCTTCACAATTGTGGGTTTGGTGATGTGATCCAAATCAAATCTTACTCTCTAGATATGAAGTTTATTCTAGCGTTGTTAGAACGTTGGAGACCGGAGACACATACATTTCACCTACCTTTTGGTGAGTGTACTGTGACTCTCCAAGACGTATACATGTTGTTCGACCTACACATCGATGGTAAGACCGTCAACGGCAAAGTTGGTGTCCCTGGCCGACTTTGCGAAGATTTATTGGGCGTCCCTCTTTGTGTGGACGCACCTCAGGCAGAAAGCGAGGGCCGCCCGAGGAGTCAGGGAATTAATTTAAAATACCTCAGATAACAATACAACAATATTGTCTTAACTGATGATAGCACCGAATATGACATAATAGTCAAAACACGGTGCTATATTATGATTTTGTTCGGTCATTTTTTATTTCTAGAGGGCACTGGAAATACCGTCCATACTATGTATTTACCATTATTGCAAAATATTAACAAAGCGTGCGAATATAGTTGGGGATCAGCTGTCCTCGCCCATCTGTATAACGCACTTTGCAAAACTTCCAAAAAAATTCATGTACTTTTTATGGTTGTGCTTATCTCCTGCAAGCGTGGGGTTGGTCTAGGATGCCGACGCTTGCTCCAATAAACCGAAATTCTTTTACATTCCCGTACGCCAACAAGTGAGTTTCTTTTCTAGAATATTCGTAAACTACATTTTCGTTTAAGTTAATAATTTGTGAGATGTGTTTTAGATGCTAATTCATATGTGTTTATTATTTTTAGGTGGTCTGTTCCTGGGATGAATTATCAGAGATGTCCCAAGCACTCTATAATTCAATACCGCAACCTCATCGACCACCTTGGACCAGATGATGTAAGTTATTTACCTTTAATTTTTATAATGTATATGCATAAACTTGTATATCTCTGTCTAACTCATTTGTCCACCTTTATTGTAGTTTGTCTGGATGTCGTACGAGGGTCTCGACCACCAGCCCAACCCCGATGATGCTGCTGTGTGGACATCAAGAACACCCATAATTAGGTTCACTACGATGGAGATGCACCAAAGTGACCGAGTGAAGCTACAATTTGGGATGCACCAAGATATTCCAGATACTCCGGTAGAGTTGGGGCAGTGGCATCAAAAGCGGGTGGACTCACAGTGAAGTGTCAGTGATTGGAAGGAGTTTGCGAAGGACTTGCGTAAACACTGGAATAGAAGAAGGCAACACGTCTTAACCGACCGTATTGTGCACGAGGCTAGGCCAAGTCTTCAATATATGACTTGGTTTAGGTCTGTCACGACATCTCAGCCTTTCCTGTCCCAGCCAACCTATTTGGTCGACCCAAGGGAACGCGTTTCATCGTCAAACACACAACAACAGTTCAGCGCCCAAAATCAGCCTTACGAAAACTCATACATCCCAACAAATACCCCATATCAACAACAACATCCTTACATGCCACCCACCCAGTCCCAGTCTCAACCACCATACCATTATAGCCTTGATATGTCTTTTGAGCCTACCCCTTCCACCTATAGCCCAGACAACTCATTTGACCCTACCCCCTCTAACTACCCCTCTAACTACCCCTCCAACTACCCCTCCAACTATCCACTATTTGACTACCACACCCCACAACAACCAACACACCTAGACCAACCCAATTCCATGTACACATTCGGACAACCATACCGTCCATACTCCACCCAACCTCCCCGACAACCTTCGAAAACATGAGCATTGGGCTTGACTACGGCAACGCCGTTCACAGTGGAACTCCCGACTATTGGGGTCAAATGCTGCAAAATCTATCTGATGCACCGGGGCCGTCCCAACAAAAGCATCCTCCACAACTCAACACACAACGACCAGACACACCACAACAACCTCGTCGTAGACCTCGTCGCATCGCGCATCCCTCGCAGTGTGGCACCGGTGGTCGCTTGGATAGAGCCGACCATTAATTAATTATTTTTTTTTATAATTTTAATTATATTGTAATATTAATTATATTGTAATTTAATATATTTTAATATTTTTTACATGTCTATTTTATTTAAAAAAAATAAACTTAAAGAATATTTATTAAAAGTTACAATTAAAATTAAACTAAAAGAATAATTAAAATTAAAAACTAAAGAAAAAATCAAAACCCTAATTCAACAACTATGTCGCCAAATGTATCGACGACTTTGTTTCAGCCGAAATTGTATTTAACTTTGTTCATGTCCATTTTCAAGGTTTTCCCAATTTCGTCAATTCATCTAGCGACTGTCAGATAAAGCATAGCCGGTTTGGTAATTTTTTTTAAAACTTTCATTTAAGTGGTATTATATTTGAAAAACATGACTAGTATAAAAAAAATTCTAATACATGCTTTACTTATAAAAAAGAATGAATAATTTATTTATAATAAAATGTTCTAAAATGATTTTTTTTTAAAGTTTTTAACATAGTATTATTTATTTATTTTTCAATTTGATCCTACATTACTTCTAAATCAATATTTTTCTACTCTACATTTTAGTAATAAATGAATACACTAATATTTAATAAAATAATTTTATTTTTAATAAAATAATTTTATAAATCTTTAATGAAAAAGGGATGTTGCTTGTAAATTAATTTGATCTTATCTCATTAAATTAAATTGAAATTATCTATGGAGTGATATATTCTTATTATTATATAATAATGTAAAACTTTCTTTATCAACTCTATTAAACTTATTTTTAATTTATCCAAAGAGTTTAATTAGTATATGTGTAAAGTAATTTTTTACTGTTATTTAATAAAATATATTAATTTATAATATCATATAATTAAATTAAAATTTAATCTCTAATATGACAGAATGTATAAGAAGGATTTATTCATCGCGCAAAACAATTTTCCAATTGTAGTATACCTATTAAATTCTTGATGAAAAATACCGTAAGAGCAATTTGAGTTGTCACTAAACTGAAAGTACATTTTTGGGTTACCGTGTTGTTAGATTAGTTGTCACCACACACAACAGTACTACACCCACTATTCTTTCCTTTACTTTTCACCTCACTCACACGAGTTACATTTTCCAACACAAAAAAAATCACTCAGAAACGATTTACATTAACCAATTCACTCAGAAACGGTCAACACAAAAAAAAAAAAATCAAAACCCTGCTTCTAACATTTTCGAGATTTAGATCTTATTCAAACCCAAAACCTCACCCCTCTCACTCTTCCAAACTTTAACCTATCTCAATTCAATTCACCACTTCTCCGTCGTTAACCTCCAAATGACGGAGGGATCGCCGCCGAAAGTGCTCCCGGTAGAGCATGCAGATGACTCCATGCGATCTCCTCCGCCGAAATCGGATCCTGCCGATGCAATTGGTCGCAATGTAGGTTCTTCCGGAGGATCGTCGAGGAGAAAAGGTAGGGTTTCTGAGATGAAATCGTCTGAGGAGAATCGACGACGGTCGCCGAGATTATCCGTTGAATCTAACGGAACTGACTCTTCTTCTCGTGCTGTTAAGGTGCGTTGCTCATAATTCACTCTTTTCTCTTTTTCTTTCTTTGTTGTAGTGTTTTTCTTTTTTCTGCGCGATAATAATCTCAATTTTGTGGATAATTTTACGTTTTAAGAATTATGCCAGGAAAGTTGCAAGTAATTTGTGGATAATTTTTCTTATTTCTGCGCGATATATATGGAAAATTCTTTGTTAATTGTATAGTTAAACTCTAAAGAACTCTAATTTTCTTCGGAAAAATATATTTTTATTACAAGCGTTCTTTTTTATTTTGACGCTTATGAACTTTTTTATCAGTTTTGTTTCCGTGTTTTTTTATAAAAGGATTTATTTGTTATCCATAGTGACGTCATATTTTAAATCATGTTTGAATTTTATTTTAACTTTATTTTATTTAAAGTAATATTTATTAATGGTAAAAAACTTTTTTGTGGATAACAATTATTCCCTTAATATATAAACGTTATCTTTTTAAAATACTATTATAAGCCTTCATATTGCATCATTGTCTAACGCTTTTGATAGAATTTATGGAAATAACTTGTGGAACATCCATAGGCTATTTTTAGCTTACTCCGCTAACCTTGCTGGATAACTTATGAAAAACGTATTAACTTTTTCTTAGGTTAATGGCCTGAATTTAACCCAATGTGAATAATTTGAGTGTCTCGGGTTCTTCGCATTCATGTAATTGGATGTCTCTAGAGCTACCAACTAAGCTAGCTTAACGGGCCGAAAAATATATTACTAATAAAATAACAATTTAACCACATTTTTTCTTTGATTATAGAAATTATCTATGCAAAGTGTTTAATTAAGTTACTTCCCCAAGCAATGTACAATTTTATTCTTCTTCTTATTATTATTGTTGTGGTTGTTGAAGTGTATTTGATTCTTAATGTGTTGTTACTTTAGTTCATATGTCCTCAACCTAAAGTACTTTCATTTTTTTTTTTATCTGGTTTAGCTACTAGTATTATATGTAACACATTGGCACAATGTCCGCATTGTTGACATACCTGCAACATTTGATAATGTTTTTTCTTAATATTCCATGATAAAAGATTCTGTATTCTGATTCTTGTGTCACGCAGCTTCGAAGATGTAGGTCTTCAAATGGGAATGAGAACATGCAAGTAGTTCACCAGAAGAAGAAAACTAGGAAAGTAATTGCTTCTTCCATTGAATTGTCTAATTCATCAGTGGAACAGCATTCCCCTGAAGTTGATGATATCGACTGCTCAGCACTGTCTCCGGAGGAAATCACAACCTCAGCCTGGGTTGAAAATGGCCGAACAAATTATAATTGTTTTGCTTTGTCTGTGCTACAAGGCAAACCTTCAAAAAAGAAATTTAAATCATCTGCTTCTTTTGCCAATGGAAGTATGGATGAGAAAAACATTTCTTTATTCATTGGTGATCCAATACCTGATAATGAAGCTCGCGAAAGATGGGGATGGCGCTATGAATTGAAGGTTGTTGGCCTGATTCTTTTAGTATGCTTTTCATGTTATTATAGCTACATTATGGCATACCCAAAAAGAGAAGAAAATATTAACCATTTTCATTTCCCATAACTAGTTGGTCAATATTTGCATTCTTTATTTTAAGAAATGAAAAGGTCTGTTAGTTTCTATTGATTCAAACACACTGTATTCCATTTTCTTTTTATTTGATTTTTCTGTTGAAAATTGCAGGACAAACAATGTAAAGATAAAGTGTTCAAAATAAAGTAAGTACTGACTTATTCATAAATTCAACTCTGGCGATTTTAACACTCTTTCTAAGATGATAAGTTTTCTAAATTTTTCACTGTATTTTTTCTTTTTGACATGGCTGATATCATAGTGAGGATGAAGAAGACGAGACTATTATAAATGTTAAATGCCATTATGCCCAAGCTAAAATTGGGAACTGCACTTTCAATATTGGTGATTGTGCATTTATAAAAGTAAGTGCATAGTTCTGAAGCATGGTATTTTATCTGTTTGTTTGTCACTACTAGACATTTAGAATGCGGACAACTATGAATATGAATTTTGTTACCCTTTGTGTTATGATCCCGCAATCTACGATCTTGACTCCCCTTCCCGATTCTATGTAGGATGTCAATTTTAACTTCCTTAGCTACGTGGTAATTTAGTTACTAATATACTATTCCACTGCTATTCATGGCTGCTAAATCTGCTACAGAAAAACAGATCGCATGCATCTAGCATTGCACCAGACCCTGATTCTCCTATTGCCTGCTATAGTGCTGCTATTAACAACATAGATCTCCACACTATCACTTGTCCTATTTTTTTTCTAATTAAATTCCTCAAAACATACTGCTATATGTTCATGTTCATCAACTTTATTATTAAAGGTGTATGAGTATATCTTTAAAATTTGCTTGTGAGTATGGCTAGTCATATTAATCTTACTACTGTCCTCCTATGAAGAGCCAGCAGAGTAATATATAGATATCAGTGACATCTGTCAACCGAAAAATCTTGTGATTCTACGAACACAATGAGAGCTAGTTATACTTATATTCAATGTGATTCTTACAGGGTGAAGAAGAACAAAAACATATTGGCAAGATTGTTGAGTTTTTTCAAACTACTGATAGGAAAAATTATTTTCGGGTCCAATGGTTTTACAGAATTCAAGATACAGTGAGTACCGAGTATTTCATGATATTTATTTAGTTATGTTGAAATGTATGTCATTGTAATTATTGCTTCTGATTTTATTTCAGGTTGTCAAAGATGCAGGTGATTATCATGACAAGAGGCGTTTGTTCTATTCATCAATAATGAATGATAACTTAATAGATTCCATAATAGAGAAAGTGAATGTTAGATACATAAAACCTAAGGTATGACAAAACTCAGTTAATATCTTTCTTATTTTTTCTATTTGCTCACAACTTCATCTGATGAGGGACTGCTGCCTTGTCAATTTTGAGGTTTATATTTCTGTTTTTGTATGTAATAATTGCTAGTTCTTTTTTCTGTGACTTCTTGCAGGTTGGTCCGAGGTTGACTTCTGTTTCACCATCTAACTTCTATTATGATATGGAATATTGTGTTGAATACTCTACATTCCGCAAAATGCCAACAGGTATGTCATGAGTGAGTGCAAGATGCTTTTGGTCTTTTCTATACCAAAACTTAATCTATCACTAGACAAGGAATTGGGAGGCAGAAGTGCCTTGACAGGAAGAAAAAAAAAGTAGTTTAGAAATAGGAAACGATTCTGTTCAGTGTGCTTCTTGCAGTTGTCATGTTTGCTTGATAAACACAAAAATTCATTTTTTTGTAGTGATCTCAAGTTTTAGCTAAAAATTCATCTATTCCCTGGTCATATTATATAATGTTAAAATATCACCAGTTCTTAAGTGCTCATTATTTGCATCCTTTTAACTGTTGAATTGACAACAAAGTACAATTTGAGTGATCAATTAAAACTGCAAGTTGAGATATTCAAACTAAGTTCATAAAATATGTGTTGTTTTGTTCAGATTTATAGCTAAAAAATTTCTATATTTCTTAGATAATGTTGTTAAGATTAAGGAGTCATCACAACCTGCTGTGGTTGAGAGTCTCTCAACAGAGGCATCTACTATTTCCAAGTGCCTACCTAGTCCTGAATTGCACAGGACAGAACTGACATTGCTAGATCTCTATTCTGGCTGTGGTGGCATGTCAACTGGACTGTGCTTAGGTGCCAAACTATCATCAGTTAATCTTGCCGCGGTAATTATACATGAAATTCACATTTGTACTGAAATTATTTGTATTTCACAAATTACATTGAATATCATTGTTATATACTGATCTTTTATTGTTTTCTTTTTTGCTCAGAGATGGGCTGTTGATAGTGATATATCGGCAACTAAAAGCTTGAAACTAAACCATCCAGATACGCACGTAAAGTGCTGACTACTTCTACAAATTTTTTGGATGATAAATTTTCTGATTCCATATAATATTTAGTTAATTCTATTGTATAGGTGAGAAATGAATCTGCAGAGGACTTTCTGCAACTATTGAAGGAGTGGGAAAAGCTATGCAAACGGTATAATGTTGGTGACACAGAAAGAAAAACTCCAATACGGTCAAGGAGCTCAGGAGGAAAGAAGCAAGTGAATTCTCAAGCTGATGATAATTCTGATGATGAACTTGAAGTATCTAGGTTAGTTGATATATGCTACGGTGATCCCGGTAAAACAGGAATACATGGTCTATATTTGAAGGTAATAAATCTAATTTCTGTCTATTTTTAGCTCTTTTTTTCTTCCAAATAAAACTTTAGTCTTCTTGCAATATGTATGCAAAAATTTAGTTACTTGTTTTTAGATATGGTGATATTCATGTCACCTTCAAGTGACTAGTATTTGCCATTGTTTCAAGTTCCAATACATTTTTTGATTATACAATTTTCTAATAAGATGTTGACAACTGTGGGTTATAAAAAGGCATGCAAATTTAAAAAAGGCTTTGTTTTCTGCCTTCATAGTTATAGAGAAACAGAAAAAAATCAAGTGAGATTTAAACAAAGGCAGTATTAAAATTTTTTTGGACCTTAAGAATTACTAGAAACCAATATTGAATTTGGCTGTTCTATTCTGTAAAGTAGCCGTTACAGGCTTAAGAACCGCCATTATAAAAGTTATTTGTAGCTGTTACGAAATTTAAGAGCTGCCATTTTAATGAAAGGAGACACGTGATTTTTTTTCCTCCTATTTTTCAGTTAATAACGGTGATGGAATAGAAAATGTTGGCATAACTAAAATCAAACTTTTTCCAAAGTCCAAACTCAGTTCTGCTTAGTTTTGTAATTTTTAAGATAACATTGTCCTAAGCGACCAATCAGATTTTGTTAATGTTCAAAAAACTTTAACTTTAGTACTGCAGACTCTACTAGTATTCTTAGAATTTGGGTTGAGCCTAACTCATCCCTACAAAACCGGTTTGCAAGGTGAGGATTGCTCCCATTTATAAACACAACACAAACCATATCACTAAGCAATGTGGGACTAAATCCACCCCTTCAAAGCTAACACAATGAAGGTGTTAGGGGCTACAATGAGACAAGCCAAAGAGCCGCAATTAAGGTGACTAGGGGCGGACCGCAATTAAGACGGAAAGTCTAACAAGTACACATCACCAGCCCAATACATGTAATGGCGAAAAATTATTAGTTTTGTTGACACTGTTTGATTTTATTTTTATTGTGGGTTATTATTGAGTGTCTTTATGTACTCTTTCCTATAAAAGGAGCATCCTTTCATTGGAATAATCAAGTTCTAAAGCTATACAATACGTTTAACAAGTTTACTGTCTAATCTTTTACTCATATGTTTCCACATTGAAATCTGAGAATATTCATGAATTTCTTTTGTAGGTGAACTGGAAAGGTTATGATGAAAGTGAAGATACATGGGAACCAATTGAAAACTTACGGTATATAACTTGATTCTTTCCAATGATTGATAATTTTAACTATTTTTAGTGCATCCATACTTATTATTATTATTATTTTGTATATGTAGCAATTGTAAGCAAATCATTCAGGATTTTGTGAGAGAGGGGATACAATCAAAACTCTTGCCTCTTCCTGTAAGTAGTATTTTTTATGGTGTAAATTTGAAAAAATCTCGAGGGTTTTTGCATTTTAATTAGAATTGTTGCTTAAAATTATTTCAGGGTGAAGTTGATGTTGTTTGTGGAGGTCCTCCATGTCAAGGAATTAGTGGATATAATCGCTTTAGAAACACGGAATCACCACTGGATGATGAAAGAAATCATCAGATAGTGGTTTTCATGGATATAGTGAAATATTTAAAGCCTAAGTATGTTTTAATGGAGAATGTGGTTGACATATTAAGATTTGACAAGGGTTCACTTGGAAGATATGCGTTAGGTCGTTTGGTACATATGAATTACCAAGCAAGATTGGGAATTGTTGCAGCTGGGTGTTATGGTCTTCCACAATTTCGATTGCGCGTTTTCATGTGGGGGGCTCATCCTGATGAGGTGTGTTTTATAATTTGATATTTAGTAAATTTGATGAACGAGGAATTGAAAACGTACACGTATCTCTCTTTTAAAAATATATTTTAAAGCCCATGCCTATGTTAATTGACCCAACGCAACTTTAGGGGAATGTAAATGTCTCTTAACATTAATACATTAAACATACGCATTAACTACCTATGAAGCACGGACATGCCAAACACGACCCTGACATTCACACAACGACACCGATAATAATTTGAAAAAATGAATAAATTAGATGTAATCACAAGTGTCGGTGCAGGTGTCCGACACAGACACAAACACGAATTTTTTCTGAGGTGACGGTGCTACATAGTTAGCTATACCATTTCTAACATTCATGGTTGTACCTCAAGAATAGTAACCGAAGTATTTTTCCAGTGGTTGGGGTAAGCTACATATCAAATGATGCAATTTTGCTCATTCAATAAATTTTCAATCAGATTTATGCATGGTTCTACTGTCTTATCATCAATAGATGTCATTTTTTTTTCTTGTTAAATACATTAGTTCCTGATGTATGGTGCCACTCAACCAAGACAATATTGTCATAACTTCTCACTTATGCTCCGTTCACATTTTTTTTCCTTTTAACTTTAATTGTTCCTTTCTATCAGAAATAGCACTAGAATATTCATCATTTGCTTGAATTATATTTTTGAACTTCTACTATTTTTTTTGTCTAGCTTAATTATAAATTTGAACTTCTACTATTTCTTTGTTTTTGTATCCAAGATACCTAAACTATGTAACATGTTGTATATATCACCTCCAAGACAATGTGCTAGGTTCAGATTCAATTAATAGGGCCCACTTTAAGTTAATTGCATATTTTAAATAGAAAAAGGGTAGGAAACCGAGAAGATTCGGTTGTTTTATGTGAATTAGCTCGGGAGAGACTGGACTCTAATTCCTAGAAAATTATGCTACTCATTAGTTTATTATTCCTATTGCAGCAGTTGTAATTTCCTTTTGTTCTCTAACTGCTCCCGCTGGTAGTTACTGTAGAATTACTCTATCAATAATATTTAGTTTATCATTATATCCATCACTCTCACAAATATCAAAGAACTATCACAATTCTAGTTGGTACCTGGATAAATTTGCATTTCATATATTCCATTTTTACTTATTGTTAAATGGAACCTATATTATTCTAATGTTCACTAGCACCACTCTTGTTTACTACCTTCTATTTCCACTAAAACATCTTCTGTAAATGACATGTATTAAGGGTTTCTTGTTTCTCCAAAAACATTATTGTGATCATCTCCGACCCTTCTAAGATCCACTATGTTATTCTACCAAATCTAATCTATATTATGTTTATTCCAGTTATGGATATCATATTTTCTATCTACCACCGATTAAAAACAGAAGTGTAGGAACAAGCTTGCTCTCATGTAGGCACATGACAATAGATTCTCCTGCCCACCAATTTCCATTGATTTCCATTGTGCAAATATTTCAAGTTTAAAAGAAAGTTTAGTGTCGATTACTTTTGTAGACTTCTAAGTTACATAACAATTACTTTATTTACCAAATTCTTTCTCAAAAGTATGAGAGCTCATGTTTATCAATGCATTAATGTAGTTGTTCTTACAAAGATGTGATGTACTTGAGATATGCAAGTCATACAACATATTACTTACGGCTGACAACATAGGATTAACAAAATCACATCTTCTATCTATTTAATATAGATTTGATAATGTTTTACGTTGGCTATTGACAATCCGACACAATTCCTTCTTTTTTTTCGGGCTTTGGACAAGCTACATAAGATAAGCGAGCACAACATAGGCAGAAAGTAGAAGATCTCGAAGATGAATTTTACTATGATTCAAAGGACATAAAACTATCCTCTAGGGCAAATCTTCTAGAAATAGACAACCGGACTCTCAAACTGGCAATGTGAATGGAATGCAGCCCAAACATGAAGTTTTGATGGGTTCCTTTCATCTGAAAGTTTGTCTTTCATTGAATACCTTCCAATCATTTTCTGCCAAGGGCACTTTTTTCATTAGCATATCAATTTGACACACTGATCTAATTCCTTTTATTCATCACATCAGATTCTTGCAGAGTAAATTTTCTGCATTTTGTTAAGAAACACATCAATTTTACATAACATTAATATAATGGCTTGTATTAAGCACATCAAATTCTTGTATGAAGTAAATTTCTTAAGTTTCATTGATCTAAAAAAATTTATTTTACTTTTCGACGGTTTGCTATTTTTTCCAGGTCCTACCCCAATTTCCATTGCCAACACATGATGTTATTGTTAGATACTGGCCTCCACCTGAGTATGAGGTATTAATCCTTACTCTTTTTTGTAAAATAATTCTATCTGGAGTTCTTTCTATTTTTCACTAGCTTTTGGCTTTTGTTTGCAGCGTAATACTGTTGCTTATGATGAGGACCATAAACGAGAATTAGAGAAAGCTCTTGTTATTCAAGATGCCATCTCCGATCTTCCTCCTGTAAAGACTTGCTTTTGCTTGACTTTTTATGTTTGGACAAGGCTTCTCTTATTAATTGACCTTGGTTTTTATAGTGAACTACTAATGTTATATTCATCCTTCATTTATTCAAAAAGCAGAGATATTGATTAAATTCTGGTGTGGTCAAGTTTTACATTTTACACAATCGTACTGTTAGAGAAGCCTTTTCCTTTATGTTTACTGATTTTAACATAACTTTAACTTAATTCAATATTGTAGGTCACAAACTTTGAAACTCGGGACGAAATGGCTTACAAAAATCCTCCAGAAACAGAATTTCAAAGATATATACGGTCTACTAAGTATGGTAATAGTGCCTTCCCTTGAGTGCATAATTTGTAATAATCAAAAATATATTTAGTATTCATAAAACATGGTTTGCTTATCTACATTGTTATAAGTGGTTGTGTCGCCAATCGCCGTCTATCTTTCACATTCGTATATATAGGAAAAAAGAAACTCCCATACAAACTGGTTGCCATGGATGTGTCCCATACGTCAATTTCATATTAAAGGCAACAATTTTCTATGATGGTTGATTCCGCATTCTTGTCATTTCAAAATTAAAATAAATGCACCTATCTTTTTCTAGATTCGATTTATTAAGCCTTTGTGGAATTTATTTTAATGGCTGGTGTTCCTTTGTTTTTATCAAAGTCCACTTAGTTTACATATGCTGTACACAGTTCCCTTTTTATTGGTTATGTATTTTAGCAATAAATATATGGATCAAGCATTTGCTCATCTTGTTCACTTGTTATTCATTTTGAGTAGAGATGACTGGATCCAAATTAAATGGAACAACAGAGCAAAATCATTTGTTATATGATCACCGACCTCACTTTATGTCTGAAGATGACTACCTACGCGTTTGTCAAATACCCAAAAAGAAGGTTGTATTCTGTATCAGGTTCATGTATTGCACTTGTGTCATTCCTTGAACAACCTTTAATTTAATATTACTGCAGGGAGCGAATTTCCGTAATCTTCCTGGTATAGTTGTTGGAGCTGACAATGTGGTCAAGCCACACCCAGTAGAGAAAATTCCATTGCTACCATCTGGAAAGCCACTGGTAAGTCTTTATATTCCTTTCATTAGATACTAGCGTCCATCTGGAAAGTGAGGTCCGACACATGGGCCTATAACCTTGCCTATTTAATAAAAAGGCTAGGCTTAGGCTTTTTTTAAAAGCCTATTTAATAAAGGCCAGACTTAGGCTATTTAAAAAGCCTACTATAGGTCGGCCTATATATGTGTTGATATTTGTAAATATATATATAGTGTTAAGAATATTTGTATATAGAATAGTCTCACATCGACTATATCATGTAATTAGTTGTAATCTATTTATATATAATAATGTCTCCGTAGTGCTTTTCAAAACACACGGTTTATTCATGTCTCTTAGTCTCTTGTATTTCAACAATATGCATATATAGGTCGGCCTATAAGAATGTGGAACGGTCTTCTAAATAGACTTTCAGGCCAGACCAAAAGTTTAAAAAGATCAGGCCATGCCAAAAGATAAAGCCTATTTCCACCCCTAGCCAAGATTCACATTCCTTATTCCTATTTGATAGAGATAGGCTCTCATTCTTATCCCTATAACTAAGGAATCTTGGTCGGAATCTTTTCATTATAAATACGTATTGCAAGGGGTTGTTAGCCTCCCAAACAGTTCAATTGAAGCAATACAAACAAACTCGTAAGCTGTATCACCCACCATATGTATAGAAAAGTAAGATGCTATTAGATGTTTCTGGTCTCTATATGCAGTTAAGTTCCAGGGTTTTGAATGAGAGGTTATGTATTTAGATTCAAACGGCACTAAGTTAGTTAATCTTTACCTACTTTACTGTTTGGTCTCAGGTCCCCGATTACTGCTTCACTTTTGAACAGGGGAGATCCAAGAGGTGATTTTTCAGTTCAATAATCTATCTGGTTATTTTTCTTGCTTTACATTTGATTACTTTTGATCTATATTTGGACGTATTGTAGGCCATTTGGACGGTTGTGGTGGGATGAGACTGTTCCTACTGCACTAACCTCCCCAAGTTGTCATAACCAGGTCTTATTGCAGTCTCTAATTTGTTGCAGAAATCACAAAGTTGGTTTCTTATAAATTCAAACTCTCGCAGGTAGTACTACATCCAGAGCAGGATCGAATCCTCACTATACGAGAATTTGCCCGGCTCCAAGGATTTCATGATTATTATAGATTTTATGGGTCTGTGAAAGCTAGGTAAAACCATTATTTAATGAATATAAAATAGGTTTAGATATGTTTTTCTTTCCTAAATCTTGCCAAATTTTGATTGTAGACCCTCTAAGATTTGGGTTTTGGTTTTGTCTCTTGTTTCGGAAAAGGGATCCCTTTTGGTCCACCGTAGTCACAACTCTGTATGAAATCTGTTTTCTACTGTATCAACCACCCAATGTAATTATGATAAAGACATAACAAAAGTATTTTGTAGATGGTGAAAAAAACAAGGGGGCAGAAATAGAAACTGATTTTAGAGGGACTATAAATTAAATTCCCTTGTAAAACATTGTGATAATATAGCAAGATACTGAGTGTAGTGTCCTTATATTTTTCTTGTGATATTATTTACAGGTACCGTCAAATTGGAAATGCAGTTGCTGTTCCTGTTTCGCGAGCTTTAGGATATGCCCTAGGAATAGCACATAGGAAGCTTGGCAGTAATGAGCCACATATGATCCTCCCATCCAAATTCTCTCTTTCCAATTATCTTCAATTATCAAGTAATCATGTTGGCAACTCCATTTTTGAGACAGAAAATGCAGGCAAAACCTCAGTAGTTGAGTCAGAAAATGCAGGTGACAACAACGTAGTTGAGTCAGAAAATGCAGATGACAACAACGTAGTTGAATCAGAAAATGCTGCCAACATCATACCTGATTCAAAAAATGCTACAGACGCCAAAATTGCTACCACCATTATTGAGTCGGAAAATGCCGCCAACACCAATTTTGAGTCAGAAAATGCAGGCGACACCACTATTTTTGAGTCAGAAAATGCTGCTGACACCATTTTTAAGTCAGTAAATGTTGCCGAGACGACCATTTTTGAGTCAGACAATGCTGCAAACACCATTTTTGAGTCAGAAAGTGCTGGCGGCACCACCGTAGTTGAGTCAGAAAATGCTGCTGACACCACACTTGATTCAAACAATGCTACCAACACCATTTTCTATTCAGAAAATGCTGCCGAGACCACCATGTTTGAGGTTGACGGCATTTTTGATTCAAAAGATGCTCTAGACACCCCCATTTTTTATTCAGAAAATGCTGCAGAAACCTCCATTTTTGAGTCCGACAATGCTGCAAATACCATGTTTGAGTCCGAAAACGCTGCAGACACCGCCATGTTCGAGTCAGAAAATGCTGCAGACACCACCATGTTTGAGTTAGAAAATGCTGCCGTTGCCAATTTTGATTCAAAATATGTTGCCGACACCACCATTTTTGATTCAGTAAATGCTCCAGACACTTCCATTTTTCAGTCTGAAAATGTAGGTGACACCACCATTTTTGAGTCAGAAAATGCTCCAGACACCACCATTTTTGTTTCAGAAAATGCTGCAAACAACTCCATTTTTCAATCAGAAAATGATGGTGACACCTCCATTTTTCAGTCTGAAAATGTAGGTGACACCACCATTTTTGAGTCAAAAAATGCTCCAGATACCACCATTTTTGTTTCAGAAAATGCTGCAAACGACTCCATTTTTCAATCAGAAGATGCAGGTGACACCGCAGAGTCAGAAAATGCTACCGACACCTTTTTTGATTCAGAAAATGCCGGAGACACCAACTAGCGTAACATTCATCCTATTTATTTCTGTTGGTTTCATGACAAGTGGAGTTGATTTGAATTTCTTCCTGAGCAATTATTTTTTGAATCTCATAGACGTGTTTCAGCTACTCCATTTATTTTGAACTTATAATCTCATTTAGTTGTACAACTATTGTGCTACTATGTAACTTATTTAAGATGTAATGTCATATCTTAGTACTAGTTACTCAAAAAAAAAAAAAATCTAATAAGTGCTTGAGTATACCTTGTAAGCTAATTATTTGCATTCCTTATCTCAAGCCTGTAAGATTATATGAGATGTAATATCATGAAAAAATACAGTTTTCCATCTAATTTAGGTGGATAGAATCTCCATTTAACACGGAGATGAAATAACATTCTGTGATTTGATTTGGGATTCAACTCTTTTAGATACATGATTCATTTTATAGGGCAAAGTTAGCAATCACAATTATGAGAAAACCAGTAGCTGATATTAATATATGGTTGTTTAACTTTTAACTTAACTTTTAGGGGAATACTCATTGCACCCAATAGGTACAACTGTTTGTATAATTTAGAGATTATTTTCAAATGCACTTTTCACACATTTGTTAGTCTGAATTGTTGAGATATTTTTGTTAAAATTTAGTTTGGAGATACAACTGTATTAACATTAGATTGAGTTTAGGAATGCGAGTTTAGAAATGCATCTTCGTAACAATCTTTAATTTAATATTCACTGAATTTTTTATTCTGAGTTTTTTAGAGATGTATTTTTGTTAGCTCATATCAAAAATAGTGGTAGAATGTTGAACAAATATAATTAATTAATCTTAAAATACTTAATATTATATAGATAATTGTTAACATAAATTTAACATGTCATTACAAATAGGTTGAGGAATGCATCTTCGTAACAATCTTTAATTTAATATTCACTAAATTTTTTATTCTATGAGTTTTTTAGAGATGTATTTTTGTTAGCTCATATCAAAAATAGTGGTAGAATGTTGAACAAATAATATAAATTAATCTTAAAATACTTAATATTATATAGATAATTGTTAACATAAATTTAACATGTCATTACAAATAGGTTGTTTAGGATGTTGCAACATCTTTAAAATATCATTAGTCGATTTTGCGATTGTCGCATCCATTTCAATTAAACTCTTTGTTTAGTAACAATAAAATATACTCAACATAACCTTTAAATTCTCATCCGTATTCAATTTAAGTTTGGTGAACTGTATCTTTCATTCGTTGTAAATTGAGGGTGAACAATACAACTCTTCGATTGACTAGATATCGCAAATAGGGGTGTACAAAAAAACTGGTTATTGTTAACCAAATTAGTATTCAAATTGCTAAATTGATATGTTTGTCTCTTTTCATGTTTCATCATATACACGTTATAAACTAATTTTATACTTTGAACTATTTTAAAGTTTATATTTTTTAATTTTACAAAAAAAATTATTTTACAAAAAATTCGGAATCTCGAAGTTGATTATATGAACTTTTAGCGGTTGATTATATGGATCTTAGTGCATCGAGTTTGATTTGACATGTGCAAGAAAATATGGGTCTTAGTGCATCTAATGCTTCACAAATTATATGAACTTTTAGCAGTTGATTATATGGGTCTTAGTGCATCGAGTTTGATTTGACATGTGCAAGAAAATATACAAAAACTTGATTTGTTGGATTTGACTCTAGTTTTCATCTATAAATCTCGAAGATCATTCAAGTTTTATGATAAAATGATCATAAATATTATAGATTTATCCACCAATAGATAGAGGTTTTGAAATATACAAATATATGTCTTATAACATATTAGTCACCATTTTAAGTCCATATAATTTGCTGAAATTTTTTATTTTAGAACTTTTTTATTTTTATTTTTATTTTTTAAAAAATTGTTTTTTAAAATATTTTTTTTCAAAGAAAAATATTTTAAAACCTTATTAAATTTGTTTAAGTATTTAAATTTAAAAATTGATATAATTTAAAGGAAAAAAATTTAAATTTAACTAGATAATTTGGATTAGAATCAAAACTCATTTAGAACCGGTTTTAAACCGGTTCGGAACAAGTAGTTTGATTTATAAACCATAACCATAAAAATAGGTTGGTTTATAAGCCATAACCATAAAAATGGATTGACTCATATTAAATAGTTATTCATGCACACTCTTAATTGCAAGGGAGTATCAGTTTAGATTTCAGATCAACAAGATGTATGTTCTCAGAGACCCTAAATTAGAGTGGGGGATCCATTGAAAAACACAATTGCAAGACATAGATATATATATTCATTCTGGTTTGTTGTGTTTTTGTATAGAACATGAAAAGAGAGACCCCTATTTATACAAGTTTTAGATCAATTTGGACTTTAGAAACCATATCCTTTAATTAGGACATATTTCAGATATGTATCAGGACACACCTTATTTTTTACAAAATAAGAGAGGTTAGGGAAATGTACATCCGCAAAATCCTCTATTTTGTTTTTTACAATTAAAATGGGGTGTGTCCGGAGATGCATATTCGGATTCACTCAAAACACTGTTCATACATAACTAGTATAATATGTCGGGCAAAATTTAGAAACAGAAAAATTATCTACAAATTACATCATTGAAAATATTACATACAAAAAATGAGTTGCATTGTTTGATAAAAACTAAAATGTTTAAAAACATGTGTCTCTACCTTAATCTATTGTTGGTTCCTTCTTTGACTTTTTCTTATTTGATTTTTTTTCAATGTCGCTCAACTTGGTGAACTTTTCCATCCTTTCTAAAAATTGATCCGACCAAGTTTCAGCTTCTTATGTGAAATGTGTCATCCACTCCAGTGATGTCTTTGGTATATGACATTCCTGTTACAAATAAATTTGCATAAAATATTGTGTTTTTGAAAGCCATCATGTACACATTATGCATCCAAATGAATTTTGAGATGAACTACCCTGAAGTGGAAAAAATGTTTATGAGAAACTGTATCTTTTCAGATCAATACACACTATATCATAAGCACTTGTTATAAGATGTCTCATTTTCGAGAAGCACATCCATTTTTCAAATGGTATCAAACCACTAACAAAAGGAACAAGAGCATTGAGAATTGCATCATAATTTTCTTTTTTCATTTATAGTGATGTGTATGATTCCATATGCATCATCAACTCTTGCACAAGCTAATGGCGGAAAAATTGGTAGTTCTCCTCTTCTTTACCAAGCAAACTCAAAACAGCTAAAAAACCACAGTTGTAGTCACCTTTAACATTTATAATTCGCCTAATGTATTTGTGCATAAAAAGAGATATCTCTTCAATGTGGGTGATTTTTGGTAACGATGACGGAGGAAATGATTTGCTAATGTGAGAGCTCAATTTTTTGAGATTTTGGAGTTGGAGATTTCTGAAAATGTGAGTCAACATGTTCAAAATATGAAGGAGAGTGTGTGTGTCAGTTTGACCTTTATAAGGACACCCTTTGTTTTAACTGATTGTAATAGCAGTCTAGAATCCGTTGTTTCTAGATAGGCATTCTTCCTCAACTGCTCTTTGATGTGCAAATATAGGATCACCAACTTTCAAAAATATATTTTGGATTACTTCTCATTTGATCATAATATTTATACTTTATTTATCATCCTTTATCACGCCACCATCAACAAACTGAAACCTTTTCCACCAAGTGTAAAATTCATCCATATGTATCAATTTATCAAGTTTCATCTTCTTTGAAATTAAACTTGTACATGAAAGACTGCACGTCTTTCTAAGTGTACAATCACACTTTAATCTATCTGAACTTGCTTTATCTATCCACTTGGCTTCGTGAAAAATAAAATTCAATGTCACCCAAGATATGTTGCCAACCAACTGTGAATAAAGGATGTTATCTTTGAATTGGTGTTCTAACACAGTAATACTCCGACCAAAATATGTTTGTATCTAATTATGTTGGTTTCAGAGCATTTGGTTCACAACGTCCCAAAATATATCTCAAAGTGTGACTTTATCCTTACAAACTATGTACCTAGAAACATAATGGTCATCCTCCAAAAGCTTCAACAATTATTTCATTTTAAATCTTGGATCTCTTACTGCCTTGTTATTTTAGATGCACATATTGTATACTTGTTGGATATTTGAAATATTCTGAGGTCTTTTACGTTTCAAAGATACAAATATGTTTTTCGGAACCACCATGTTTAATGTCATGTCTGAAACAAGTTCCTTCTCCTCCGAAATAAGAAAAATACAATGGGATTAGAGACTAACTTGTCACTCAATTCATGATTATGTATATACCAGAAATCATATTAAATTTCTGCGTAGCATTCACCTTACGATATCTACACAATTTAAACGAACACTCGTGTTTTCTCGAATTAGTGTCATCACATTTCAACTTCCTAATCGATGGTTGGTACATGCCACTTCTTTCGCATCTTGTGGTTACAAATGTTTGTATTCTATCAGAACCACTATCAAACCTTATGATTACAACGCCAAACCTCGATTTTTGGTCTCCATGCAGACCCATTGTATCATATGTTCACGGTCAATAAACTCTTGTTTATTTGTAAATTGTTCATGCACATCTACCTCGACATAAAACAGTTTAGCACCCGGTTTAACACCGTCTGGTTTAACATCAACGTTCACTTCAGACGGTTTGACATCATCATTCACTTCGACCAGTTTAACATTTATCCTCACAATAACTTTGGGATACATATCTCTGTGCACCACATCTAATACCAACAGTAACAAAAAATAGATTAAAGACTCAAACTATCAGGCACATTTGGAGATGGATCTCCAAATCCAATGAGATAGACCCTGGAGATGCATATCTGGACTGGCCGTTCATATATTCAGCTCAAAAACATATTAATATAAGGAATGATGGATGGAATGAATGAACTTTACCTTAAATTTCAACTTCCTTTGCTCCCTTTGATGTGATAAAATACATGAAAGATGTTTTGATGTTGAAA